TATTGCACTAAATTAGGGGTCCTCAAACTACAGTCCAATGCAATGAATGCTTGTGTTGCTGTAGAGAGTCTCCCTCTTCAGGGTCCTTTTGTGTGGGTTGGAGGGGGGCAGAAATTCCGGGGTCTGCTTTAGCCTCCTGGTGCGGGGCTTTGGACGAAGGCTGGAAGGAAGTGCCACTGGTGGCAAAAAGCCAGAGGGCCTCGTTTTAGTGGGACAGCATCATGGCCTGGAACTGGCTGACCATCTCAGCCCACTGAGCCTCCAGACTCCGGTACCTGGCCTTGCACTCCTGCAGGTCTGTCCTCTGCTTGAAAAGCCTATGCTTGTAGTCCTCAGTGAGGTGCTGCTGAGCCTCCTTCTCGATCAGATCCAAATTGAACTGAGCCAACTCTTTCTCATGGTGGCTGCTTAGCTCCAACAACTGCTTCCTGTTGGGGCCCTAATGAGCCTGGGCAGGCAGGTGAGGAGTGGCTGGGAGGGGAGGGGTGAGTAGAGGCCGGCGAGGCACCCCTCGACATGAGTGACATCAAGTTGGCCATGCCCACCCAGTCACATGGCCACCTAGCCATACCCACCCAGCCAGTCATTAGGCAGATCATATTAGTGGTCCGCGGGATTTAAAATTATGAATTTAGTGGTCCCTGAGGTCCAAAAGGTTGGGGACCCCTGCTTTACAACCTTGTTTCATTCCTTTGCCAACTGGGAGGTAATCTGTTTTGCCATCTTCCATTTGGACTATGGCTTTCTGTCCTGTGCATAGTTTGGTACGAGGACAATGAAATGTTGTGGAATTCTCATTTCCCTAAAGAAGTTCCACAGCCTGATATAGCTGACACACAATCAAAGATCTTTCTGTAATCAATGGAGCTCATATTGACTTCTTTTTGGCATTCATTAGCTTTCTCAATTACCCAATGTGCCTCACTAATAATGCAGGTAGTCCTCGACCTATGACCACACTTGAGCCCAAAATCTCTGTTGTTAAGTGAGACATTTGTTAAGTGAGTTTTGCCTCATTTTTTGACCTTTCTTGCCTGAGTTTATTAAGTGAATCACTGCAGTTGATAAGTTAGTAGCACGATTGTTAAGTGAATCTAGTTTCCCCATTGACTTTGCTTGTCAAAAAGTTGCAAAGGAGGATCACATGACCTTGGGACATAGCAACCATCATAAATATGAGTCAGTTGCCAAGCGTCTGAATTTTGATCACGTGACTGGGGGGATGCTACAAAGGCTGTAACTGCGAAAAATGCCGTAGTAATTTTGAACTGTCGCTAAATGAAATGTTGTAAGTTGAGGACTACCTGTATGACTTCTTTCTCAGACTTTCCTAAAACCATCTTATACATCAGGCATTTCCTTTTCCATCTAGGGCTCTAATCTATATTGGATGATCCTAAATATTATTTTGCAAACACATAAAATTAACTATTGCACTGTTGCATAATAGTTCACATACCTTGCCAATTTTCTTTCTTTGGTGTTAAGTATGAAGACAGATCACTTCCAAACTGTGGACGGCTGTGTTTGTCCTCCAGATTTTCTGACAAAAGTTTGCTAGAACTTTTACCGATTTTTTTCCCCATGATGTATTTTCTTTCTCTAAATATTCCATCAAGTCCTGTGGTCTTCTGACTTGGTAATGACTGGAATGCTGATATAACTTCATCTTCTAGTACTAGAAGCTATTGTAAATTTACTAAGGTGCCTTGGATATTGACATTCTCTATTGTACAGAATTTCGGTAGAGTCCTTCCAACTTTTTAATTTATTTTTTGAATCCATTACTGTCTGCCTAGTAATATCCTTTGTTTTAGTGGTTCAAGGCTGGGCACTCTTTCTGAGTTGAAAATCTTTTGAAATGCTTCTTGTTTTATTTCATGTCTGTTTCTAGTTGTGGTCTCTTTACATATGTTATTATAATATTACCGCTCATCTCTTCTAATAGCGCTCTGACAGGGACTCATCATCCAGGACTTACAGCATAGTGTCAGTCATTTTACATTGTCTATTCATATGACAGTTTAAATTTAACATAATTAGAATCAGCTAATGCTGTATTTTTCTATCTAATGCCATGCTGATATGCTGAATTACAATTTTTTTTAATTATAAGATTTTTTTTTCTTTCTTGATCTTATATGTCATTTCATTTTCCTGACCCTAACCTCACACAAACCCACATACAGTAATAGCAATAGCACTTAGATTTATAGACTGCTTCACAGCGCTTTACAGCCCTCTCTAAGGGTATACAGAGTCAACATGTCGCCCCAAACAATCTGGATCCTCATTTTACCGACCTCAGAAGGATGGAAGGCTGAATCAACCTTGAGCTGGTGAGGATTGAACCCCTGGCAGTCAGTAGAATTAGCCTGCAATATTGTATTCTAAGCCCTGTACTACCATGGCTCCTCCATAATTATATGCTTACATTCATTACTAAACTCATATAAACTAGCTATGACAAAAGTTTTAGATTTGCAGAAATCAGTGTAGTGTCAGCCTCGGCATGCCGCCTGGAGAGACGAGGAGGCGACCACCCGCTTGGCCAGGGTCCCGCGCAGCACGCTCGATCATCCAGGGAAGCCGCAGACCCACCTGCTGCTGTCCTGACGCTTTGTAGGCGGTGGCGTGGCCACTGCACAGCTGAGAGGCGGCCGCATACCGATGATGTCACCAGACCGATCGGCTAGACCGGGGGATGCTACTTCTGGCCTCTACCTCATACTGATGGATGTGCCTGGAGGCATTCTTGCGGGAATTGAAGGGCAACTACTTTCTTGCCTGGTCTGTTGGTAGGAGGGAATTACTCGCGAGCAGGGAAGGAGGAGGGGATTACTCGTGAGCAGGGAAGTACATGGGAACATTGCAGGGAGCAGCAGCACTTATGGGTGTGAGCCCCCAAAACCTGAAAACAACTGCAGAGCTTTTTGGGGTTCGCCAATTTTTATCACCATTTCATCGCCTCTTTTGCCTGGACAAAGCGTCGGCCATAAAATTTCATCCCCTGGAATGTATTTTAATTGGAAATTAAACCTCCAAAAATAGAGGGCCCAATGGATTTGTTTCGGTGACAACCTGTGTGGGGATTGTAAAGCCTCTAAGTTTTATGGTCTGTCCAGACCTCAAAGAGCACATTCCTCCCTTTCCAACAGGTGTCAGCACGTTAACAAAGCCCAATACACGGCAAACACTTCCTAGAGGTAGACATTTCCCACTGAGGCTACAAAATAGGAACAGAGAGATCTCTTAATAACTATATGAAATATCAACAAAATATTATTGTTGTGGCCCATCAGCGGCCTGTGCAATTAGTAGCTGATTCCGACAGCGAGGAGGCTGGTGTGGTGCTGTGCCAGCAGCCTGTGCAGTTGGCACTCGAGTCAGACAATGAGGAGGCTGGAGAAGATGTGGTGCCAGAGGCGGGGATTCAGCCAGGGCCTTCAGAACCTCCAGAAGCTCCCATAAGTGAAGAGGAAGAAGAGGAGGAGCCTCTTCTTGATGCACGAGCGCGCAGAACTGCGAAAAGGCAGGAGTGGCTCCTCAGGAGGAGGTCTCCTCAAGAGTAAGGCTTGGGGCTAATTGGCCACTCCCCTAGCCTATTTAAGGAAGGACGACTGATGCAATTTGCAGGAAATAACTTCGTTCACATTCCTTCGAGTCTTGATTCTAGAAATGTTTGATTTCGGCTCTTGTTTTTCTCTTATCAGTTTTTCTGCAAATTGCTTCTGGGCATTCTGCCAACCACAGTAAGATTATGGTTATCTGAAATACTGTGCCTCAGAACTGAGTTATTATTCTTTGAATTCTTGTCGGCTGTTAATGAAGTTAAATTAACAGCCCTTGTTCAGAAAAGACTGATTTAAATAGTACTTGTGTTTGAACAACTACTAAGAAAGCTCATTAGTAGTCCTTAATTAGTAAACTAAGGTTTGTACGGACTTTGTGTGTGCTGTGTTCTTTGGAGTCTGTAGCTGGGGCAGAACAATGATATGGGTTTATGAAGTAGAAAAAAGAAATGATAAAACCAATCCTCCTCCTCCTCCCCCCCCCTCCTGTAGATAACATATTTTAACATTTCTGACTGTTAGCAAGTATGAAGCTACCGGTAGTAAAGTTAGATAAACAATAATCATTTGGGAAGTAATTGAAAGGCAGCAACACCTTGAGGAACTTAGACAGTGTGACTCTTGCCTCCTTCTTCCCCAAAAGATATTTTGGATTTATGTGTATCTGAACAGGGAACACTTAGACATCTTGTAATAGTAAGGATGAGCAGGGAACATCAATATTGCATCTATGCTAAAGTATCTATTCTGAAACAATAAAATACCATTACAGTATATTTGGTGTTGATGTGCTATTTGGTTTCACTTACTAATCTTCTTAACAATCTAGCAGAGTAGATGGCCAACTTTTTTTTTTGATACATGATAGATAGATGATGATGATGATGATAATGATGATGATGATGATGATGATGATGAAAGCGAGAATAGAGTAGGAGAGAAGAGAGTGGAGTGGAGTGGAGTGAGAGAGGAGAGGAGAGGAGAGGAGAGGAGAGGAGAGGAGAGGAGAGGAGAGGAGAGACGAGACGAGACGAGACGAGACGAGACGAGACGAGAAGAGAAGAGGAGATGTAATTCTTTTCCAGGTCTGCAATGCTTCTTTTCAGCCAGTTTAGCCAACAAGCATAGTTGATAGGAAATGTGGTCCAACACATCAGGAGGATATCAAATAGGAGAAAGTTGTTTAAATATGTATTTGATTTATATTGAAAATACCTCCTAGTTTAAATGGAAGTTAGTTTGTTGCAGAAAAAAATGAATATAGAGCAAAGTATAATGGAGGAGAGAGGATAAGAGGAATTTGATCAGTGATGCCTGGGCTGAAAACTGTTGGGTTTGGCAAATAATCTGCCACTTGCACATCATCAAAATCTGTAAAAAGCACAGGGAGGAAAAACAAAGATCCAAAAGAAAGAGTTCAGATTCCTGTAAAATTGGCATGTGTATTATTTTGCCTGTAGACACACTTGTACAATTCTTTCTCAAAACAACTTTAAATAATTGAATGAATGAATTGTTGGGTTAAATAAATAAAATAAAACCATCAACACCCCTTATACAGGGGAAAACAGACAACTGTTTTCCAGGATCCCTACTTGATTTGTTGCCAAATATTATAAATGATGAGCAAAATCAAACATCCTCTAATATTTGATTATGTTTAAGTCAGATTCACATTGTGCAGCCTTTCAAACAGAGTGTTTTTCTCTGTACCATGGGACATTTGGTTATCCCAGATATAGATCTTTATCTCTTTATGTCCTTAAAATCTTGCTGGTTTCTTGCAAAGATCATGAGGCTTTTATACAAGGCACAGTTGGGATAAGGAGACGGCTTCTTGGGCAGTGGAATCATCTTCAGTGCACTCCTGCTGAAATAATAAATGCCAATGGATTTTCTGAGTGCATCCTCATCATCCTCATCATCTTCACCGTCATCATCATCTATATGTGCAATAAGAAAGAATAATTACTTTGTAGAAAGCTTTATTATGAGATATCAAAGTTCTAATTTTTAAGCATAGGTGTCTCCTTAAGATGATGTCCTATTTCCACGTTTAAAACTTTAGACTGTCCTTGAGAAGCAAGCAGCTCTGAGTTACATCGAACCAATACCAATCAACGATGTTTCTCTATCAATGCAATATCCTGCCAACCCGAGCATAATATCCCATCACCTCGTATCAAGTTAAGGAATTTATCTATGCTGTTAATAGCTCTTCCATCACAAAATCTCAGAACTTGCTTTGCAAAGAAAAAGCGAGGTTAATTGATCCAATCTATTAGACTGGGCAGTAGCTACATTTGTTGTCATATTTATAGCTAGTCCTTCCTCCAAGATTGGAATGACACCGATACTATCACGTCATAGAACTAGTTAAGCCCCATATTTCTGTCAAAAATTGGGCTGTTCTAAGCAACTTCAGGGCCCTTTTTTCTAGAATAATTATACATGGGGCAGGCAGGCAATGAATTTGGAAAACATCCGCTTCAAATAACTGATGTTAACACAATGGACTCAGTTTGCTCTTTACACTCAAATAAAGGACGTTTATTAGGGCATGTGAGTTTATTGCAGGAGAACAAATAGCGGGTGTAACAATATGTTGCTGAATGAAGAATTCCTGTTCAACTTTTAAGTAGTTTAACATTCTCCCTGTGATGCTTTCTCAATAACTAGCTAGAATTACATGCTCATTAAATCTTTATTATGCAGTTACTAAACTTTCTCCCCCAGTATATTTTTTCTCCTTCAAAAAGAACCTTTTCACTTCTGCAAATCCTGGAATTCCACTGAGCATTGGTGTTATTTACAATTAAGTTTGCATCCAAACTTAAATGAATCTCTATTTGTAACATTTGGTTTTGTTGAAATGGGTTTTTTCTCTTCTTATTTTGGATGCACATCTCTTTTTTCTTTTATTTTACTGTTCTAGCTTTTTACAATGTGAAGGGCCCAGAATGTGAAGGGCCCAGAGTCATTGTCTTTTCTTTAAAGAAAAAAGGCTATATAAATAGATACACAACTGCATAAAATACATATTTTGTTGTTATTATATACTGTAGGTTATTATATAGGACAATGAGTGTTATTAAGAACAAATGAACAGAAGAAAGCTTTCATTTGAATGAGTAGTTTTAAATGTGGTTGACATAACATATTAAGTCAGCATTTTGCAACCAGGATGCCTTTCAGATGCATCTTTGACTTCCAGGGCTTCATAATCATCATGGCCAATGCTGAGCATTATGGGTATTGGAATCCACAAATCTGGTAGGTGTCCAGCTTGGGAAGTTGCATTAGACCCTGCTGTGCTTATCTTGACTATCTCATGTGAACGTGATTAGGGCCAAGGCTGCAATTAAGCTTCCCTGTTTTAACCACAGTATTCTCATGACTTCTGTTTTGGTTTTACTGTTCTGGTTGTGGTTTCCCATGACTGTTAATTTACGCTTCAGCAAGCAGCCACTTGTCCACCCAGAAAATGAAGTTGAGCAACTGTACTAGGGAACATTTTCTGCAGCAATACCTCTGTTGCTTCGATTTATTTTCCACCCTTGTCCTTCAATGGTCGGATGGTAAATTTGGCTAAAAGAGAAAGAGACTAAGAGAAAGATTCAGTAATAGGGTTTCCGATCAGGGACTGATTAAGACTAACCGATGCTCTAAGCGCAGCCCAACCATGGTGTCCCTTAGCCTTTCCATTGCTTAACAGATAAACATTAAGATTAATTAAGAGCCAGAAATTAAAGTTGAGTGTGGTAAGGAAATCACAAACACACACAGCGAGAGAGAGAGAGAGAGAGAGAGAGAGAGAGAGAGAGAGAGAGAGAGAGAGAGAGAGAGGGAGAGGGAGAGAACTATGTGGTGGCTTCCTTCCCTTGGTGTTTATTTTGTTTAATGGGTAATCTAAGACTGATTCTGATACTGCCAACCCTTTGAGTTAGCAATAGCAATAGTACTTAGACTTATATACTGATTTACAGCCCTCTTTAACAGGTTTACAGATTCAGCATATTGCCCTCAACAATCTGGGTCCCCATTTTACTGAACTTGGAAGGATGGAAACCTGAATCAACCTGGAGCTGGTCAGGATCGAACTCCTGACTGTGGGCAGAGTTAGACTGCAATTCTAACCACTGTGCCACCACGGCTCTATACCAGTAGCCCAGATGAGAAGCAGTCACACATATAAAAGGGGAAGGGGAACTTGTGTCACATTGGTTGTAACAGTGGTTTTGTCACTAGTGCCCCCTCAGGTGGACACTGCTGTCTGCCCCCTTTCCAGTCTCCCTTACATAAACACTAAGAATGTGCCAATTGTGACAATTATTACTCTCTGATACACCAGAAACAAGGTGGCTGCTGAAAATGGAAGACATGAACAAAGAAACATCTGACAGGCAGGTCCACCATTTTGTAAGGAAAAAAGAGATGATAAGGAAAAGTATCTCCCTCTGTACCATGGGCTTTACACATTTCATAATATTTTGCCTATTATTATCAAGTTACTGTATCAATGGTAATAAATCCAAGCACATATGGAAATCTATGTGCGCTTTGTGCATGCACACACACAAAATGTGCAGGAAGGAAGAATGAAGCATGGGATGGAAACAAAGACATCTGAAAAATTAAGGATGCAACAAAAGGGTAAATTGAAAATAGCTGCCACACTCACGTTGCAGGGATTATTTGCATGAAGTCTATGTAATGATCTTCTCCATTGTTGGGGCAAAAATACTTTTAATGAAATAACAGTAGCAACATACAGGGATATTTGCTATCTCAGGCCTGCAGGCCTGAGTCGTCCAGCTTGGATGGTGAACCTTTGACCTTGCTATGTCAGCTGGAGAAAAAAATATATATTACTGCTTCTGTTTCATCTAAATACAGTAAGTGCAGAAGGAAAAGAAATATATTGTATATTAACATGCCTGGTCTGGTTGCATTTCATCTTCACTGGAATTTGAAATGTAGACAACATATTTTAACCTTTCTGACTGTTAGCAAATTCATGGGCTTTTGACTGTGCATGATTTCTAATGGGAAGTTCTTTCATTTATAGCCCACTGTTTTTGTCAAAACTGGAGTAAGTGGACTTTTGAAATGGGCAGGTGAGGAAAAACAACTGAAGGCCACAGTGATTAAGGGGCACAAAACAGTTTTTGCCCTTGGGTATTGTGTTAGGGTTTTCCCAGGAGGCATCTAGTGGGGCTTTTTAAAGATTTTATTTTAAAACATTTGAAGAATAAAATAACCAACTATATGAGAGAATAAAAGGAGGAAAAGGAGAAAAATATAGTTGCTGGTAACTATCAGTAAATAAACAATAGGCATAACATTTAGAACTCATTATTTCATTGATTAAATAATTAATTGAATATTTAAAACTAAAATAATGGAATCATCTTGAAAAATTATTGTAAAACACCACAAAACTCTAAACTGTAATATTTATACTGATGTTACCACTATTTATCATTAGCTAAAATTAAAAACACATGGTGTTATTATATAGTAATGTATGCACACACACGCCCACACAAATATTTAGTAGAAGCAGTATTAAGTTCTGAATATCCTCCCATTGTATCTGCCTTATACTTAGGCTCAAATTATTTATAAAAATAAATACATCAAATATTTCTACCTTAAAAGCAGTACTTTAAATATTTAAAATTGCCTTTTTTGGAGTGACATGTACTATATAGAGAAGCATTCGTGCTTAAATTTAGCCAGATTTCTGTTCTGGATGAATAAAGTTAGTTTTGCCTTCTGCTGCGTATTCCCAGCGTTTCATTTCCCAGACTAATATTATCAACAAAGTGTCTATTTTCCAACGTTGGCCCAAATATGTCCTCACAGCCTTCAGAGTATATCTTAATGAAGTGTGATGGTTTCCCCCCAAAAAAGTGCTAGAAATAAATACACAACATTTTTAAATAAAAAAGAAAGAGTTTTAATTGAAACCTACCTGGCTTTGTGCCTAAAGTGGGACTATAACTCACAGTCTCCCAGTTTTTAGCCTGATGCTTTAACCACTACACCAAACTGACACTCTCAATGACCTAATTAGTAAACAGCAGTTATTCTGAGTTCTAAGAACCGAGGTTGCTCAGTGGTTAGAGTGTTGTACTGCAGCCTACTTCAGCTGACTGCTAGCTGCAGTTCAGCAGTTCAAATCTCACCAGGCTCAAGGTTGACTCAGCCTTCCATCCTTCCGAGGTGGGTAAAATGAGGACCCAGATTGTTGGGGGCAATATGCTGACTCTGTAAACCATTAAGAGAGGGCTGTAAAAGCAGTATGAAGCGGTATATAAGTCTAAGTGCTATTGCTACTGTGTTTCCCTGAAAATAAGACCCTGTCTTATATTTTTTGAACCCTGAAATAAGCACTTGGCCTTATTTTTGGGGATGTCTTATTATTTTGGGGTGCATGGAGCAAGATGGGGCTCCTCTTGCCATCTTACCAGATTTCCAGCTTTGCGTTTAAATATTTTCGGGAAACAGGGCATTGCTAATGAGGCCTACTTTAAGGTTCTTCTGAATAAGGTGGTTGTCTACAGCTTCTAATCAAGGTAGAAGGAATTCCACTGAATTTATTGGAGCTGACTTTGGAATTAACACGTTTCAACTTTTTATTTATTTATTTCATTTGAGTTATATGACCCCCCTATCTTATTAAATAGATTGTGAAATTGAGGTGATATGAGTGGCAAATAAATCAAGTACATATATACATATTGATACATAGTACATACATACAACTCTTGCTATCCAGTACAAAAACTATGGAATCAATAAAACAAACAAAACAAACAAAACAGAAGAAGGAAGAAGGACAACAGACTTACTGTGGCAAATCAGCAAACCATCACCAATCCACCTGGACTCAACTAACTTCCGCACCCCATGCCTGGAAAATAGCCAAGTCTTGACAACCTTCCAATAAGACCAACAGGGGTCAGGGCTAACCTAATTTCAGATGGCATGAAAAGGCACACTGCTTGGGTCCCACAAGACTGTAATCAGATGGATCTGGAACATGCCCTCTCTTCTACATTTGGTCAGTTGAGCAGAGACAGTGGGAATAAGATGGTCCTGCAAATATTTCATATATATTCCATATTTTCAATTTAAATTGGTTTTGAAACAAGCATACAAACTACTGTCAATATTGTTCAAATCACATAATTTCTTATAAGGATTTTTTAGAGTTCTTTAACAAATGGTGCTCAGCTATATTTACTAAATGATAGAATTTGGTAAGGATATCTGTTGGAAACAGATATCCTTTATAAAAAAACAATTTACTTGTAAGCAGTGTAAGTTCATTCTTGTCTGGTCTTTGACTTTCCTTAAAGAATGTTTAAAAGTTTCACATATTTCTCTGATATTCTTTATAAAGAACCTAATGGGATTTTGGAGAGGAAAGGAAACATTAACATTGAGACTGATGGATAGAATTGCTGGAACAATTTTAGCCTTGTGTAGGATTTACAATGCAAACATTTATCTTATAGTCACAAACGACAGAAAATGTCACCTGTTAATTTATAAGTAGTGTCATATTGCAAAATTGCTTTATTGTTTCTAAACCACTAAGCATTGATTTGAGCTTCTTCATTGTGTCTTTTGGTCATTGGTTAACCAAAATGCTTGTTTTTGAGACTCTAAAAAAAGTGTGTGCATATTTTTCAATTAATTTTTAATTTTAAAATAGTAGATGAACAGTTTTACTGGCATAATACAACAGTTGTCCTCAAATTTTATTTTAAATATTAATTTTTAATAAAAAATGCATATTAAAAGAAATGTTTAAAATGATTTAATGATTTTAAATATAACTTAGAAAAAATGGGCACCTGTTCTACCATATGTTTAATTAAAAATGATATACCTACGAGGAACCAAAAATCTTCCTATCCTAAGTTTTGTCAGAGAGCAATAGACAAGCCCCCAAAACAAAACAAAGCAAAAGAAGTAAAATGGACCCCAAAATTTGTCCATTAGAAATCTTATCAAGTTTAACATGTACACAAAATAAAGCATGCTTGCAGTTTTAATCAAAAAGGAAAAGAAATACCCACAAGCTACAAAACATAAAGATATGGCACAGTTTATTACAACTTTCTTCTGGATATACCTACATGAGTGCTTAGAGCCATGGTGGCGCAGTGGTTAGAATGCAGTAACTGCAGGCTACTTCTGCTGACTGACTGTTGCCAGCAGTTCAGCAGTTCAAATCTCACTGGCTCTAGGTTGACTCAGTCTTCCATCCTTCTGAGGTCAGTAAAATGAGGACCCAGATTGTTGGGGGCAATAGCTGACTCCGTAAACAGCTTAGAGAAGGCTGTAAAGCACTGTAAAGTGGTATATAAATCTAAGTGCTATTGCTATTACACACACACACACACACACACACACACTTTGAAATTTCTGCTACCGATACCGTTAGGCTAATTGATAGGAATAAGCTTTTCACTGCATCTAAATCATGTCTGAAATGCAGACCGCATTTACATGTTTCTGTAAAGAACGGTGTTGTTTACTCTTTGTGGCATACTATATTGTTTTAACTCAGCTACAGTGGTTTGTAAATCATGATTCATAGAAAATGACTTAGCATGCTGTGCACAAGCAGCAAATGAGTACTCCATTAAAGGAACAAGGTGGCCACCTCTGTGATCATGACAAATAAATATATGATTTTGTCAGATACAAAAGGTGAAAGGTATAATTTGCAACCCAAAATTAGGCATAGCTAGATGGCAGCAGCTAGTAGTCTCCTCTGATCTCAGTTGTTGCAAGAAACTGGGTCATGTAGAAATAGCTTCATGGCCATCCACTGGTTTTCCTTAAAAGTTTTTGCTTCTGCTCTTATGTCAAGCTTGATACAGAGTACAGTAATACCGTGTTTCCCCAAAAATAAGACCCTGTCTTATATTTTTTTGAACCCTGAAAAAAGTGCTTGGCCTTATTGCCATGCATTCAAAAGCCCAACTGGGCTTATTATCAGGGAATGTCTTATTTTGGGGAAAACAGGGTAGTAGAAAGTAATTAAAGACCCTAGTGGAAGGATGATCCTATACGAACCCAACATGCAACAGGTCTCCTGACTACCACACTAATAAATTGTGAAGTATTTTAGATGTAGCATATTTTAACACTGTTGAATCAATATCATGATGGTATGCATAAGTGTGGCTGGGAATCTCTTCTCCCAAGAAATTATGATATAAAACTAATATGAGATCAGTGCTCTGTTACCAAAGGAATTATTTGGCATTGTCACAGCTTTATGCTACTGTTTTAAGATACAACTGGAGAAGGAGTCTTTGACTGTTAACTTCCTCTGATATAAGTAGAAAGCCTTCTGTGAATCATAACTTTGTCACACGAAGATTAACTTTGCAAATATTTTAACTTGGGTTTAAAAATAGATAGGTTTTAAAATTATTGGCTTTAAGTTTATCTCTGCCTGGATATAGCATGACCATTTGGGTCCTTTTTGTTAATGTCAGCAAAGTTTTGAAGCTGGTCTTTCGAGAAGCAACATCAGCCCATGAATTGCCCATATTCAATCAGCATCAGGAGTGGCTTCTACTTACTTTACTATCGGTTTGCAATGGGGCCGCGCTTTGCGCGCACGCGCCCTTCTGCACATGCACAGAAGCTTCCTGATCACATCGAGGTCGGTGGGCGGAGCCTCACACTGGTTTTTACTACCGGTTCTATACTACCGGGAGCAACCCACCACTTATCAGCATCTCCAAATATTTTCACAAATGAGTCTCCTAAACTGTCAAAGCACCTCGTGACAAATTAAAAGACAAGTTCTGTATTTGTGGTTCATCTGACTAACCACCAGACTTCGGCAAAATGAATTAGACATACTTCTCAAGAAATAGGGAAGGAAAGATGATAGGGGCATGTATGAAATATAGGTGGTGAATGATCAAGAGCATGGAAATTATTTTCATTAAAGCCTGGAATTATTAGCAATAAACCAGGAAATGTACAGTGTTTTTCTGGTGGTTTCATTTAATATCTACGTAGGATGAAGACCCTTTTAAGTTTTTATGAAGCATTTATGCCTTGCTACCATATTTTTAACCTTTAGCTAATTACAAGTCAGCCTTTTACAAGTTAAAGGAGTTGACATGAAAGAAACCACTAACGAGACACTTATTTCTTCCTATTAAAATTGCCAGATGCAAATTTTGTGAAATCATTTAAAATCATTGTTTTAAAAGCAAAGTAATTTTATGGTCAAAAGGCAGGTTCTTCTTTTAAAATGTTTTTAAAGACTAATATGTAATAGTTAAGGTTATGGTGGGTATCAGTGGTGGATTTCTACTGGTTCGTCCCGGTTTGGGCAAATCAGTAGTTGCAGCGGTGGGAGGCTCCACCCACTCACCCGGACATCATCACGGACGCTCTGTGCATGCACAGAAGGTTCTGCGCATGTGCAGAAGCGCCCCATGTGCACACTCACAGTTCCAAACCAGTAGCGAAGATAAGTGGAATCCACTACTGGTGGGTATTAAGATACAGTATATATTTTAAAAACAGGAGTGTTATATGTTTTTTCCCTGTTGTTTATTAATAAATACACTATCTGTCCAAGTGGATTTCAATAACGTGTACTACTAGTCAGTAAGTAACCAAACATTTAAATTTTCTCTTCCTTTTCAGAAAAATGAAAAGAAAGAGCTGAGGTCCAAGATGGATGCACTTATAAGCCTTGGTGGCGCAGTGGACTAAGTGCTGTTAAAGTAGCACTTAGTTGCCAGCTGCCTGCAATTACTGCAAGTTCAAATCTCACCAGGCTCAAGGTTGACTCAGCCTTCCATCCTTTCGAGGTAGGTAAAATGAGGACCCGGATTGTGGGGGCAATAAGCTGACTTTGTATAAAAAAGAACACCACTTGGGGGGGCCGAAAGCCCTACTAAGCAGGTATATACAAAAGTATGAAGGCTATTGCTTAACACATTGTAAGCCGCTCTGAGTCTCCGGAGAAGGGCGGCATATAAATCGAACTAATAAATAAATAAATAAATAAATAAATAAATAAA